CACCCTGTGTGTCCTGAGGTCAGGGGTGAGTGGATTATAAACACTAAAAGCTAATTAACGTAAGAGTGAGGTGGAGGGAGCAGACAGACAACAGCTCATAAGGAAAGCAAACATGGATTTGCAGGTAATATGGTCATTTATCTAAAAACCCAAGACATTAACTAAAAACTATATGGACAACAGTATGGTGGTTACCAGAGAGAAGGAGGGTGGGAGGTTGTAAAAGGTCAAGGGGTCAAATATATGGTAATAAAAGATTTGATCTGGGGTAGTAAATACACAATGTAACACACAGATGATATGTCCTAGAATTGTATATTGAAACCTATATAATTTTATTTACCAACGTCACCCCAATAAATGTAATAAAAAAAGATGCAAACATACAAAAGTGAATCATGCCTTGGGAATTCAGGCTTCAAGTTGGATTTGACTTTGACCTGTAAGTCGAGGCTTGTTTTAATTGGCCAATTTTATAGCAATGGTTGGAGAAAGAATGGGAAAGATCCACATAAACTGAGATTCTAATAATAAAATTCCTTCTCACCCGAGAGACAAAGCACATGGGTTTTTACAGTGAAATCAAACCTATAAAAAACACACGTTTGGCAGTTTTATTTTTCCGATTCAGAGTCATCGTGAAGTCGTCTCATTCAAGGATAACAAGCCTGGGAAAGCCCCTGTGTTTCTTGTAACCCTTGCTCCCCTCCTGGCCGACTGTCATTGTTCCGAAGGGCCGCCAGAGCGATGGCTACAGGCTGCCTGGCCTGAACCACAGAGATGCATCCTCACAGTCCCGGAGGCTGTAAGTCAGAGAGTAAGATGTCAGCAGGGTGGTGTCTTTTGGGGCCTCTCTCCTGGGCCTGTAGATGGTCAGCTTCCCCCTGAATCTTCACATGAGCTTCCCTCTGCGCCTGTGTCTTGTGTACACTTCCCCTTCTTACTTACAAGGATACCAGTCAGACTGGGTTCGTGCCCAGTCCAATTACCTAATTCTAACTTAAAGTACTGGAGGTTAGGGTGTCATCATTTTTTAAAAATTGGGGGGGGGGGTAAGGAGAGCCCAATTCAGCCCATAGCACAGACCTAGGATAGTTTAGGTACCTACATTTAGCTAACGTGTACGTGGTATAGAAGTAAAATTCCACATTTTTTTTCTGTATACTACTTACCCAATTTTTTAAAAAATATATATTTTATTGATTTTTTAAAGAGAGGAAGGGAGAGGGATAGAGAGCTAGAAACATCGATCAGCTGCCTCCTGCACACCCCCCACTGGGGATGTGTCTGCAACCCAGGTACATGCTCTTGACCGGAATCAAACCTGGGACCCTTCAGTCCGCAGGCTGATGCTCTATCCACTGAGCCAAACCGGTTAGGGCACTACTTACCCAATTTGAAAGAGTATTTAGGGGGCTGTGGCCACATCCCGGTCAGGAAAGAGAGCAGCTGGAGCCTGCGCAGCGTGGCCTGGGGTGCTGGCAAATAGGCCCAGACTGGCTGTGCAGTCAGCAGGCGGACCGGGCAGGACCTGGCCACTGTGAGGCGTGGTGAAGCCCTGGCCCGACTCAGAGCGACAGTTGTCTGACTTCCCGGGGTCAGAGTGGGGAGGGATCTCCGCAGGGAGCAGCCCAGGCAGACTGAGTCACCCCTGCGTGTGCTCCTGGAGTTCTTCGCCCAGAATGCTCCCCAGGATGTGACACATCAATCACATCACCGTCATTTCCATGCTTGCCTCCGGGCCATGTTCAGGCCTCAGAAGGAGGAGTGACGTCTTCACCGTTATACCCATGGTGACGAGCACATAGTACGCATCTAGGGCGCTCAGGGGAGCGGTGGGAGTTGTGGAGAGGTCGGGGCAGAGGCAGGGTGTGACCCTGGGACTTCCATCCTCCCACCGGCCAAGCGGCCAAGCGAGGCCCAGAGCTGACGGTGGAAGGTAGGATTCCTGGTTCCTCCGCATGAGTGGCCGCTAAGCACAAGTTTGTCATTCGCTGCAGCACTTCCTCCCCTGGGTGCGGAGGGGGCCGTACCCTTCCTGTTATTCCTAATCTGCTTGCTGTGAGTTGTGAGGTTTAAGAGGTCCAGCTGGAAGCCAGGCCCTGCTTCCCACCTGGGGGACGGCACCGGCTTGCCCACACCTGCG